ACCCATGGCCATTTTATGAAGGCACTTGGGTTATGTCTGAGTGCTAGAGAGTTTTAAAGAACCCAAGCTACCTCAGATGCCTTCTTGTCAAGCCCATCATTGCATAAATGGGAAACAGAAGGACAAAGATTGGAATGAATCATCCAAGACCACGTAGCTTATTAGTGGTACATCAGAGACCATAACTATGGATTTCCTTGGCCTCCAACATTCTCCCTCAGTGACTGAGGTAGACAAAGGCATCATGAGAAAAATGGAGCCTTTGGCTAATGATGAGAAAGGACTAGATAATGTCTGGCACAAAATGATCCCAGACAGTGTTTAAACAGAAATCTCCAGTGCACATTGATTTAGGGCTTCTGTGTGGGATCCAATATGAAAGCCTGATGGGATCACCAGTCTGGAGAAAATTGCTTCATACAGCCATGTCTCTGGAAAGAAGGAAGCTCACTTGATATTTCCCCAAGCTAGAATCTTTCTACTGGATGGTGGGTTTGGAACTCTAGCTCTGACAAATGCTGAAGGGCTGAAAGTTCTGAAATGAAAAGGGTAGGGTAGAATGGAAACTCAAAGAAGAGGTTTGTGTGTAGACACATGCCCGTCACTGCTGAATCCCCAGAACCCAGAGTGGCGCTATCATACAGTTGCAAACACCTTCACCTGAGAAGGTAGAGGGGCCAAAGAGAGAACACCAAGTTTCTCATGCTGGGTTTTTGGGTGACCAGAGAGTTGAGCTGATAGTCCAACCAAGAGAGGAGATGAAAGGAAGTATCTGAGAAGTATCCTAGTCAGCCGCCTCCTTTCAGGGCTTTGAGCTGCTCGTGGGCTGCATCGAAGCTACTCAGGAGGCCTCAGGGAAAACTTTCTTTTCTCTCAGTTTTCCTTCTAGGCTATGCGATTAGCTGGATTTCTATTGCCACATCTGAATTTGTTGGGTAGGGGTGGTAACACTGCACTGACCTCTGTGGAGAATGGCCTCTAGGCCAAACTCTGGTCCTTAACATGTCACTTCCCTCTGAGACTCAGCTTCCTCATGCAGACATAATGGTTTGTTCCAGCCCTACTTAGTCCATGAAACTGGTGTGATGACTGATTCATGGTAATGTGCTTTGGATGCTGTAAACCCTCTGCATATGCATTTCAAAGGGCAGGCTCATCTCTTCTCAGTCCAGACTAATATTTTATCCTTGGGTTGGTCCCACTTTTTATTAGGCAGGGATCCGGGCTAACTGACCCAGGTGGCTTGTGCATGTGGGTTTAAGTTTTCCTTTTGAGATGGTGTCTCATGTATACCGGGAAGGTCTTGAACTTGCTATGTAGCTGAGAATGACCTTGAACTTATCGTTCTGCCTCTACTTCCCAGGTGCATGTACCAGCAATCACCACATCTGGTTTATATGGTTGTCCTGTTTAATTTCAGCTGTCAACTTGACACACTTGGGAAGAAGGAACCCCAGCTAAGGAATGATCTCTATCAGATTGGCATTTTCTTATTTGCTGGCTGATGTGGGTGGGCCCAGCCCACTGCGGGAGGTGCCATTTCTGGGTATGTGGGCCTGAGCTCCGTAAGAGAAGTAGCTGAACAATTCAGAGGAGCAAGCCAGTAAGCAGTGTTCCTTGTGGTCTATGCTTCAGTTCCTGCCCTCAGGTTCCTGCTTTGATCTCCTGCCATGAGCTCTGCCCTGGTTTCCCTCGATTGGTGGACTGTAATGTGAACGTGAAAGAACCCTTTCTTCTCTAAGTTGGTTTTGGTCAGTGTTTTATCACAGCAACAGGAAAACCTTCCTTTGGAAGAGTTTAACTGCTGAGCCATCTCTCCAGCCCCAATACTTTTTTTTTTAACCCAGCAGTGTGCTCATTACTGTCTACATCTTTTGAGTCTAGAACAAATCCATCTTCCAAAAATTCTCTTAAGAAATAGACCTAAACAACAAAAGACATATGAGCTAGATATCTAGTAAAGACTTGTATCCTTTCTGGGGGTCCCCATGAAAGCCTAGACTATGTGAATACAGAGCATTTGGTTGGTGATAGGGAATAGTTAACAGTGGTGATGTGCCAAAGCCTTAACTAATGTGATCATGCCATCTGAGACTCAATCATTTTCAATGGCTCCAAGTTACCTACTAAATAAAGTAGTGTTTGGGATTCAATGATTTCATAAAAGAACGAGAGCCAATCCAGCAGAAGAGCATTTGGGAGCAGGGTGAGCTGAGTGTGAAACTCCTCTCACACAAATGGCTAACCCTGGGGGTATCACCAGTCCATTTTCAATACATTCAGATAATCAGAGTTCTGTGCCTTGCAAAGTCTGAAGGTGAAGTGTGATACTAGACAGAATATACTTAGCACAGCCAATGGTCAGTATATGATGTGAGTCCTAGTTATTGTGTATGACAGTGAGCCTCCTCTGGTCTACCTCTCTCCTTCCTGATAGTTTGCTCACATCCCATCCTGCCACCCGACAAAATACTTGCAAGTGTCTGTCTGCAGCGTGTGTTCCCAGTCTCCCTGCTCTTGTCCCAGTGCTGCTACAGAGTTTTTCCTGTCCAAACTGTCCATTCCTCCCTGGCTGAATTCCAAGGCTCTCTTTCATGCAGTTTTTTAGGGTAGGAGTCAGACTTACTTTGGCTTTCTTGGTGTGAAAGTATCATAAGAATTTTCTCCCGGGGATGGGGGAGAGGAATGACTAAACAATGCCTACCTACTCCTTCTAAGGTCCCAGTAACAACTCAAAAGTTCACTTCTATCAAAGTTCACCATGGGAAACCAATGACTTCATTGGTTTCAGAGTGTGAGTGAGGGGTTGCCTGCAGAAGTGTGGATGATTCCCAAAGCAGTTATATTGAAGTCTTCACCTAGCATGGATGATGGCTCACCCGTGGCTATTTAAATGGAACCCCTCTCAATTAACTTCCGACAGCCTATATACTCTGGCCCTTCCCAAGGCCATGTGCAATTAGGGCAAAATTGCACACAACTGGCTGGGATGAATGGCTGGAAACTCAGATGAGGGTCTAATGACCCTTCGTTCCCCTTCCTTCTCTGAGGGAATGCCAAAAGTTAACAAGTCCAGCTGTGACAGTCTTTTGCCAGCAGACACAGATGGTCTTATGAAGATGGCAGTTGTTTTAAAAAGCTCAGAGGACAGTGCTGTAGAAGAGAATGAAAATCCTTGTATAGTAGGCGCTCAAAAATGTTGACTTCGTGCATGTACAAATGAATGAAAGCTTGTGACAGGATTTACTCACAAAGCATTGAGGGAACTGTAAGGAGGAAATAGGTCAGGGAGAATTTCAGGCTCTGGGGGCACCTAGGTTTTATTCCCCAGCTGACAAAAGGTCTGAATGAAAGGCTAGTCTCCTTGGGTTTCCTGTCAGTGAAGTGAGACAATTTCTGAGCAGTGTGACGCCTAATGAGATCTTTTGGGTGCTACCAACCCCTTGGTAATAGCTTTGTGCACACTTCGACTCTCATACCCTCAACCAAAGACGTCAGGGGACGGCCAGTCACCCCACCACCCCATCAGCCCCAGCCTAGGCTGGATTCTGGGCTACCTGCCCCAAGTGTTCTCCAGCCTTGCAGATCTGGCAAAAGCTCCTGTTGACCCACAGCTCACTCACAGCTTAATGATTCAAAGTCTGATCGGCCCACTAGGGCCAGCACCTTGTCCTAAGTCAAAGTACATAGCTTGGGATACAACAAAAAGACTAGAAATCAGCCCCCACTACCTCTTTTGGTCTGAAGACCTTGAATGGTGTTTTTCTCTCTCCCGTCTCTCTTTCATGCTGCAGTGTCCTTTTCGGGACTGCACATTATGGGAGCTCACCACGGCTTTACAACTAAGTATATGTGAACTGAAGTTCCTAAGGAAAACAAAAAAAGCTGCATCTATGACAGAGATTCTACAGGCTGACTGACTAGACTTGCTGTGATCATGGAGAGATGGAACGTTGTGGGCCCAGAGATAAGTTATCGTGAGAGCTCTCTTTAGCCCCTTTATTAGCCATTCATTGCCCACTTCTAGTTTAACTTGACATCTATCCTTGTACCTACTGGAATGCACAAACAGACCCCTCACTTCTACCAACCCAAAGGCTAAGAATGTCATTAGCCTGAGGCATTTAACAGAGATTTCTAACTTTGCTGCAACCCATTGATTTGATGTTTCCACCAATGTAATTTTTTTTCTTGTCTTTTTGAGACAGGGTCTCCCCATAGCCCCACCTGTCCTGGAACTTACTATGTAGACCAGGCTGGTCTCGAACTCACAAAGATCCGCCTGCCTCTGCCTCCCAAGTGCTGGGATTAAAGGCATGTGCCACCATGCCTGGTGCCACCAATGTATTTTTAAATGGCTTTGTTCTGTTACTATAAAAATCTCATGGAACTGTTATCAGTTGGCATTGGAATATGGCATTTGGGGTAACCTAAATTTGTGTTTCCAGGTCATGGTTACTCATATATATTTGGTTATAGAATAAACTAGCTCTCATACCCTTCAGGTATAAGCTTTTTGTGTTCACATACGTAAAGAAAATGGGGTTTGGATAGTCCTTGCTAGGTCTTTCTTAAATTAGAATTTACTGAGCAGACCAAGTATATTTATATATGAAGACCACAAAAGTCCAATTAAATGGTTCGATCTACATGCACTCTGTTTTTGGAATCTTTGTCCATGAAACAGAATATTTAGGTTATAATTATGCTCTTTGCGGGGAGCAGAGAAAGCAGGGGGGGTTTCAGCCTACAACATTTTTACCTATTTCTTAGCAGATCTTATAGGATGGACAATCCTGTAACTATTAGTTTATGTCTGGTATTTGTTTTGTATTGGTTGTTATTGTTTTGAGAGACGGTCCTGAAACTCACGATGTAGACCAAGCTGGCCTTGAACTCACTGAGATCTACATGCCTCTGCCTCCAAAGTCCTGTGACTAAAGGTATGTGTCACCACGTCCAGCCATGATTTGGTTTTGTTTTTTCTTTTTTTAATCTAGGACTGTTTCTGTATGATTTGTCTCCCCATCCATCATCCACAGGACTCGGAGAAGTGGCAGGAATATGCAGGTGCAGACTCCAAGCCCAGCTTTATCTCCAACATTGTGGAAAGGACTGTACATCATGGAGCAGAAGCCCCATGCTCCCCTGTCACTAGGACAGAGCCTGGGGAGAGTCACCTCCTGGGATAGCCACGTTGGGTTGGGATTTGCTTTTAAAGTCAGCTCCTAAACATGTCTTCATGAACAAGCTATTCATAATAGGATTGATAGGACTGACATTCATCTGAAAATTAAAAAACAAGAAATTTTGTGTGAATTTCAGTACAAGCTGAGCCTCTTTGGGGTCACAGGGAACTTGGAGATGAAGAATAGGCATTCTGGCCTGCTGATCAATGTGACTGAAACTGAGTTTGACCATGAACACTTCAACTCCAAGAGCTTAGTAAATACCAGCTTTCCATGAGTGTCAGTTGAATATTCCTGTACATTCCCTAAGCTAGATTTTCAGTGACAGTTAATGAGTCCAATCTGTAAAAGTCCTTAGACCAGTGAGATAGCTCAGTGGGTAAAAGTACTTGTCACCAAGGCTGATGACCCGAGTCCAATCCTCTTGGCCCACATGATGATAGGAGAGACCTGACTCTTGCAAGATGTCCTCTGACTTCCGTAAGTATCCTGTGGCATGTGCGCCCACACATGTGCACCCCTCCTGAAATAAATGTAATGATTTTTTAAGAATGTTTTATTTATTATTTTTACTTTATGTGTATGAGTATATTGCCTGCATATAGGCAAGTGCACCCATGTCGTGCAATGCCCGCGGACAGAAGACTGTCAGATCCCCTGGAACTGGAGTTACGGACAGTTGTTAGCTGCCATGTGGGTGCTGGGATTCAAACCTGGGTCTTCTGCAAGAACAGTCAGTGTTCTTAACTGCCGAGTCATCTCTCCAGCCCCCAAATGTAATGATTTTTTAAAAAATAGTGTAGCAAGGGGCTGGCGAATATAAAATATTAAAAAAATATTGTAGCGAAATTCTTTTGTCACAAAGTTTTCTTTAATGATATCAGCTACTCACTGAAGGTCCCACTGTACTGCTATATGTCCTCATTAGGGCCAAGGCTGAGAGAAGCAAGAATAAACTTAAGGGCTAAGCATCAGACACGCTGTGGGCTCCCAGCTATTTTCATTAAGGCTCTGCTATTTTAAAATATTAAAAAAATATTGTAGCGAAATTCTTTTGTCACAAAGTTTTCTTTAATGATATCAGCTACTCACTGAAGGTCCCACTGTACTGCTATATGTCCTCATTAGGGCCAAGGCTGAGAGAAGCAAGAATAAACTTAAGGGCTAAGCATCAGACACGCTGTGGGCTCCCAGCTATTTTCATTAAGGCTCTGCTATTTTCATGTGGTACTGGCTATGTGGGGTGACTTTAATTCTGCATTTCTATAACAACATGCTGAATTTATATTCCACACCCCCTATAAAACCACTTACTATTTGGATTAGAGTAATTTTCTGATCATCAGGTCTGATTGTGACATTATATCTGATGAGCTTGAAATGTTCATTTATCTCTCCCAACCCTTTTCCAAACCCAAAGAAGGGCACCCCCACCACCAGTCAAACAGCCAGCAGCCAGCCTTTAGTTGAGACAAGAATCTTCCTTGGGGCATTGATAACCACATCAGTCTAGGCTGACGATATGGAAGAATATGGGTGTGGATTGCTTGAGCCTGGGGCTGCCATACCAGTCCCTGCTCAGAGGGACTTCCTGAAGTTCAATGTTAGCTGTTCTGCCAAGCAGCTCATGAATACCTAATTAATGTGACTGGAGTTCCTGGGCTCCCCTCTAGCCCACTTCTGCAGTACCAAAAATGGAGGGAGCTTGCCTGTCTAACTAGCATTGAACTGGCAACCTCCCAAACCCTTCCCATTGCTTGTTGGGTAAGTGGTAGGAAATACCTTGATTTTCTTTTCTGGGGTCTCAATCCAGTTTTCTTTCTTGAAACTTAACTTTAAAGACTGGAGGTGTAGCTCAGGGGTAGAGGGCTTGCTTAACATGCTCAAGGTCCTAAGTTCCATACACAACATTGTCAATAAATGAATAAGTAAGTAAATTCCAAACTTAGAGAGACAGAGAGAGAGGGAGAACATGTTGAGAGTTGAGATGCCATATGCTATTCATGATGGAGGAAACAGACCACATACATCCAAAGGTGATTAACTGTCTTTATTGGAGGAAAACAAGAAGTCATCAACCTCATCATCATTATAATAGAAATTGATATGTATACATGATTGTCAAGGCAGAGAATCATTTGCTACATAGACCCATGAACAATTTTGCAGTGTCACAAACCTATGGGGTTAAACTTCTTGCAGTTTATTACATGCATGGAATAGATGCAGTTTCCATTCTTTGTTTCTTTGCTTTTGGACAAGCATGTTTTTTTTTTAATGGAAAAAATTGAACCAATCACAAGCCTGATAGTAGATGTGGGGGGCTAAACTTGGATTTGACGGTGGAAGCTGCTTGAAAACATGCTCACTGTGGGGGCAGAGCTGAAAGAAGGCCAATTACAACATGTGTAGCCACAGAAGTCAATTTAGAAATTGTTCCAATGGGTGTTCTGGGCAGAATGGACCTTCGGTGTCTTCTCATTTGAACATGGGATTCAGATAAATGTTCTCTGAAACATGCAACCCTGCCTTTCAAACTGAAGACTCTGCTGTAATACTGGACGGAATCTCCTGTTGCTCTGAAATGACTAAGTGCCCTGGAAGGAGGACAGACTCTGTGTCGTAGGACAAGCTGATAAGCTGATGTTTTTGTCCCTTTTTTATCTCTTTTGCAGCCTGGCTGCCAACTCTACCCCAGAGCTTTGTCCTCCAAATTGCAGGGTATTCAGGAGAACCTATAAATCCTAGTCTGTCTGAACTAAGATTTTTTTCCCATTAAGAGGCATGTTAACTACTGTGTGGGGCTTTTGAGTCTAGCGATGTCTTATTCTCGGTGACAAAAGCCCCAACCATTCCTTTCATTTTCTTTTTTCCTGTTCATAAGAAAATAAAATCACCTGTAAGTAACATAACCTGATAATCAATTATATGACAAATTCCCCCGAGACAAGAAAGATTAAAAATGGGTCTGGTGGATACAGAAGCAGCCTTAGTACAAAGAACAAATGCAATAGTTTGTCCCTTTGGCATAGAAAGATACAGACACCAAGAAGCCATTCCACGATTTGCTTTGTCCATGAGACCAGACTTGGCAGCCACATGCTGAAAGTTTGGCTTCCAAACCTTTGGGTGTATAAAAGCAGGGCCTCCCAAAGCCACAAGCTGAGTTGCTCCTGCTAGCAGTGACAGAGAAGTCCAGGCAGGGTTAAGTCCTTCCTGCTGATTGTGAAGGCTTTGGCCACTGGGTGGGGCAGAAGGTAGGCCAGGCTGTGGCCAGCATGCAGAGCAGACTTCACAGTCAGAGCTGCAGACAGACCATGATATACTGAGACCACCAAGAAGGGGCCTGGTGAATGGGGCAGAGGCTTTCTTCCTTTCTTTCTTAGACCTGCCTGCTACCCAGGATTGAAGCTTTCAAATTAACTCATTTGCTTAGAATGAGTCACCAGAATGTAAGTCCTCCTTTCAAAAATCTGTTTCTCCAGTTTTTTGTTTGTTTTTTGTTTTTAGTTTTTTAATACAAGTACAAGCACACTTGCAGCCCCAACAGAGGACCAGGTAATTCCCCCAAAGGACAGTGGCGTACATACAGATATATACATTGGTTTTTAATTTTTGGAAACAAACTGAACAGTGTTTGGTCTGGAATGTGTTTGAGGAAAAGGCAAATGTGTGGGGTGTGAGGAGATGGGGTGGGGACCTAGTACTGATTTCATAGGACATGCAAGGGGGTCATGCACCAGTTGGACCAGAGGATCCAAATATCACTTGCTGGGAGTAATTGCGCAAACCTTAGAAACCTGATCTCTGGTTATGAAGAATGGAAGGAGCTGCCCTCTCCCTGCCCTCGCCTTTCTCTCTCATGTTTCAGGGAGAACTAGCACTGAGCTTGCTCAAATCTTGTAAGGCAAGGACGCTGGCACAGTTTCCTGTCTTTGCCCTGGAGTGGTAGTTCCAGGAAGGTTTTCCGAGCAGTTCTGGCCAGAGATCTGAGTGGGCCAAAGAGTCACGGCACCCAGAGCTCTAAAATCCCAAGTCCATTTCAACTGGGATATGAGCTTTTCTTTCTGTTAAGAAAACATCAAATTCCAGTGGTCTGACCATCTTAAGTTGGTGTTCCATGAAGCATCAGCCCTCTCAAGAGTGAACCATCTAGTTCCTTCCTGTGTCCACAATGGTCTTGACAGCTCATGCTGGGCACTAAGATGCACAAATGAACAGCTTAAGTAGATAAATGGAGTCTGGGGTTCACCAGGCCTAATTCCTTTCCTAGATTTTCTAAGAGTTAAACCTTTGTCTGCTCAGTCACTGGCATCATCTTCTGCCCTAGACCTGATAACCATGTTTCCTGGATACTATACTCAGAGATGTCTGAAGAGTCTTACAAAATCAACTTGCTGTATGAGGGGAGGCTGCTCTGTTCTCAAAGTGGCGTTTTAGAAGTCACCCAAGTTCCAGGTCAAGAACAAGAAGCCATACCTTTATGTTTGAATGGTCTCTCTGTACCTTTTCTTTCCAAAGGAGATGGGAGTGAGAGCCCGATGGAGTCAGAGACAGTAAGCGGCAGTCAAAACCAGCTAGGGCCTGTTCCAAAAGACAGAGTACAGCCATGTGGTTGCTGTTTCTGTCACTGGGCAGCCTCCTTTCCCCCAGGTTTCTGTGCCATGCCATGCCCATCTATCTCCAACTTTACTCGTCCTACCCTCAACCCAATATGAGGCTCCAAACTCTAAGGCTCCCTTGGTTAAGGATATTAAGCTGCTGGCCTTGTTGGGGCTGAATGACCGTGTCCACTCACTGTTGGGTTCAGATGAATGTTAGCTGCCCTTACTGTCTCATATACAAACGGTTGGGAGAGCAGGGAGAGACAGGCAGGCAGCAGATGGAAATCTTCCAAAAGTTCATGTCCAAGTGAAGAAATTAATATCCACTTGTTCAAAGAAGGTGAAGAGGCCAAATTAGGGGAGCGGGGGCTTGCTCTTAGGAAAGCAATCTGGGATGGGGCCTATGTGTCTACCCTTGGATGCTGCCAGGTACACTGTTATGTATAGCATTCTTAGTCAATGTTAGTGGAATCTGACGTCTGTGACAGGGCTGGAACTTTGCCATTTTTCAGGTCTTAAAAGTCCATTCTATTGTTTTACAATAAAAGCATAAATAATGCCAGTTGGAAGATAAATTTTATCTTTCTACCCTGACGGTTTTCTCAGAATGGAAGACTTTCATGTGGTAGTTATTTTCCCCTTTCTAAAACAACAGGAAATAATCTCAGGTAGTGACATCATGATAGTATGCACCTCCTGATGTTATATTTAACTTTATCTACTACTGGGCTGACAGTAGTCATCATCTCCTCACACTAATTCATTGAGACCTGGTATGTCAAGGTTAAACATGGCTGACTGCAAGGTGGACACTATGCCAGGGTTCACACCACCTGCTCTACATTTTCCAGGTATAAGACACTTTCAATTAAACTGTGTTTATAAGCAGTTCATATATATTTATATGTAGTTCACATACCCATATATCAGCTCTAGGAAATAGTTTCATTACCAATAAGAATGTTGCTTTCTATGCAAATGGCACAGAGTTGACATATAATAGGAGTCAAACTCAGGCAAATTATCATCTGCTGCAGCAACCAAACTGCCTGCCTGCCTTCCTTCCTTCCTTCCTTCCTTCCTTCCTTCCTTCCAATGAAATTTTTGTGTATTTCATACAAAACATCTCCTCCTTCCCTCCCTCCCTCCCTCCCTCCTTCCTTCCTTCCTTCTTTCCTCCCTCCCCCCTCCTTCTTTCCCTCCTCCTTCCTTCCTTCCTCCCTCCCTTCCTTCCTTCCCTCCTTCCCTCCCTCCCTCCTTCCTTCCTTCCTTCCTTCCTTCCTTCCTTCCTCCTCTCTTTTCCTCCTTCCTTCCTTCCTATTTTGATAAGATCTTGATATGTAGCCCAGGATGCACAGAAATTGAGACCGTCCTGCTGTAGTCTCAGGTACTACAATGGCAGGTCACCATGCACAACTCTACTTTCTTTCTTGTGTTCCATGAATTTGAATGCTTCCATGCTGTTAGGAAACATCCATAAACTTCTTTAGAGATACTTCTGGATTTTCTCTAATCCTGTTTCTAATATTTACATCATCATCTTTCTGAAAAGTGGGGCAGGTGAATGAGTATCCAAGTTTGGTGGTAGTTGCTTCCTAACTGGGTCTGTTGTCATTTTAGAAACTTTTCCCAGGAGGTTAACAGACTTTTGAAGTGACAGCTTCAATTGTCATCCTTTGTGCTTGTGCTGAAGGATTCCTGCTGAGTAGCCAGAGCCTACAACACAAGTGGGAACAAGTAGACCAGTTGTCTGACTTGGAAGCTGCTCTAATCATCCTGCACTGTGTACTTAGGAGGGCTGAAGTCACCTGTTTGGTGACACTGTGTCTGTGTATGTGTATCTGTGCATCTGTGTATGTTCTGGGGATGGCCAGGGGTATCACTAAACATAAGAAAAAGAGTGGGAGTGACGAGGATGGCTAGCCCAGCAGAATTTCCTATGACTGGCAATATAGGAACATGAGACTAACAGCCTCAGAACAGTTACTGGCCATCAGGGAGACCATCACAGCACCTCTTGGTGGGCTCAGGCTTACATGAAGACCGAGCTTCAGGCTTTAGACAGGACTGTAGACTGAGGGGAGACTTTGGCAAAGCTGGCATTTGGACCCATCTTCCTGAGTCTCTCGGAGCCTCCTTAAAGAGGAGGGGCTGCACACCTCGTCTGCTCTTTCCCACATGCCCAGCCATCCATACAGGTCACAACATGGAATGGTTTACACAGGACATTCCTGGTTTCAGCCCTGAAATTCCACATCTTGGGAAATCCTTCCATCCCTGAACACCACAGGTTTTGTGATTTTAGATTCTTCTGATGCAAGGGAAGTCTTTATGCACCCACTGGGCCTTGTTGAGCCATCTCTGTGGTAGACAGTGTCCTGATCACTCAGCGGGTCTCCTTCCCACCCAAGATGAATTGTTTCTTCTTCATGGCCATTTCTGTCCCCTCTACGGGTTAACATTCATAAGAGAACAGGGTAAAAATGTGGAGAAAAATCTTGCCTGTGTCAGAGGCTATTTGGAGGGTAAGATTAGAAATGCATTAAAAAAATCAGGGAGGGGGGATTAGTTTCAAAAGTGCATAGCTGAGATCAGAGTTTCATCCATCATCCCTTACGAGAAATGAGGCCTGTGTGCGGGTTCACTTTAAAAACAAAATGGCGGTTTGTCCCTTCTGTAAGAGAGGCTCCTAGATTCTAGAATTGTGGAGATTTTGCTCCCAGAGCATGGTTTGCCTGTGATATGGAGCCTTGGGTCTGGGGTGGGGAAGCAGGCTTCTTTTTCTGTGGTTGGTGAGGGCTTGCAAGGCTAGCTGCTGGGTAAGGTTTATCTGCAGGTTCCCCACCAAAAGCGCCTGGAGAGAAGTGCCCGGCCTCACTACTGAGGTGGCCTCCTCTATAGCAGCCCTCTGAGGAGGGGCGGAGAGTAAAGGAACCAAAGTAAAGCGAACTCTTGGCCTTAGAGACGTGTTACTGATCCCCTTATAAGAATTTTAAAAAATACCTTTAAAACCCTTGGAGAGAAAAAAAAACCTTAAAGGTTAACATAAAACTACTAATAAAGAGCGAATAATATAGGCCACGTAACTGATAGAGATAGAAAAGACACTTTTCAAAAAGAAAAAAAATCCTGATGCACAATATTTACCAATATTTAAATAATCCAGTTGAAACTTTTTTTCCATGGAAAAAATACATCCTAGATGGCTGTCTACACTGAGAAGAGTGAAGTGGTGGAGCTGGGGGAGAGGAAGAGGAAGGTCCAGTCAGTTAGAGCTTTGCAAGATTCATATATACAGCACCAGATCCTATGAAGTCAGCTCCCCTTGAGTCAGTTCAGTTTGTGAGAAATGAACTCTTCAGAATTGCAGTATAAAATATGGCCATAAAAAACTTCTGTCTTCCAGTCCTACGCAGGTGCACCATGCAGGGTGGGTCTCCGATGCTGGAGCAGCTCCGGCTTTGGGGCTCCCCCTTCCCCGGCCCTGCCCCCTAGGTCCCACCTTCAGAGCCGGGTCACTTGCTTCCAGTGTGCACTGTAGTCACAGTGGTGGGCCTGGGTCTCCTCTCAGCTTCGACTTCTGAGACCCCCGACGAAGAAGAAATGAAACTACAGAGCGTGGAAGGTGCCAGACCTGTAGGGGGACAGCAGACACAAGGTTCAGAGAGCTGAAACAATTCACACTCCCCTTCTCACCAGGAAGGTCAAATGGGCTACCCCTTACCACTGAGCTATACCACCAGACCCTGCATATTTTTACCAACCTATAGGAAAGTCTGCAATGTGTTCAAATGCTTTATTCTTGGACCTAAATTTTCTGTCCTATTTCTGTCATAAGTTCTAAATGTGGGGCTGGAGAGACAACTCAGTGGTTAAGAGCACTGGCTGCTCCTGCAGAGGACTTGGGTTTGATTCCGAGCACCCATATGGCAGCTAACAGCCATTCATAACTCCAGTTCCAGGGGAATCCAATGCCATTTTCTGATCTCTGCAGGCATGCATGACAAGGGTACACTTACATGCAGGCAATACACTCATACACACAAAATAAAAATAATAGATAAAAATTTAAAAATTCTAAATGCTTTGTATTTAGAAATGACATAGTTTGGTAATCATGATATATGAGGCCCCATTTACTGAGCACTTTCCACATACTAGGCACTGGGCTAGGTAGGAATTATATAGTTATTATAAGCATGGTTCATTCCTTTTTAAATTTTTAAATAATTTTAATTTTCATATATGCTTGCATGTGTTCTATTTGTGTGTCTTCAAGTACACATGTGTGTGCATGTGTGCAGAGGTCAGAGGTCAACCTTGGATAGCTTCTTTAGTCATTCTACACCTTGTTTTGTTTGAGGCAGGGTCTCCTTTTACCCAAAGTTCACATTTAGGTGAGGCTGGCTGGCCAGCAAGCCCGAGGGATCCACCTCCCTAATGCTGGGGTTACAAGCCCACACTACCACACCTGGTTGTTTAATGTGGGTTCTGAGGCCCAGATTCATGTCTCATGCTTCCCTGACAAGCACTTTATTCGCTGAGAAGAATGGTTCATTTCTTGCAGTAAAGTAGGTACTATAAGGATGAAGAAAGAATCTGTAACTCTTTCAGGTCCAAGTTAGGTTATCCTAAGAAGCATTTTGTATCACAGGTCACTTTAAGATGAGGATGTTCACATCCTCAGTAGCCCTGTGACTTGGGAAAAGTCCTGGCAGGTAGTATTAAATCCTCTGTAAGCTGATATGTGGGCCTTTGTTAAAGTTTGGATATGAAATCTCCCCAAAGGCTCATGTTTGGAGATTTAGTCCTTCAGTAGTGTTCAAAATAAATGGATCATGAGAGCACTAATTTTGGCAGAGGATTAATACATTGCTTAAGTCAGTATTAAATGGACTACTGGGCAGTGGAGGTTAGTTGGAAAAAATAGGTCAGTGGGGGACATACCTTGTCCCTGGCCCTTTCTCTCTCTTGATCTCCCCTCTTCCCCATTTCCTGGTTGCAACGATGTGAGTAGTTTTGTTCCATCATGCCATTCCACCATGACATGGTATCTTACTACAGGCTTAGAAATGCTGCCAAGTGTCCAGAGATGGAAACCCATGGATGGGCCCAAATCAGACTTTTTCTCTTTTAAGATGCTTCTCTGGGGTATTTTAACACAATAAAAGAAAGCTCACTTCACAAAGCCTTGGAAGGTGTCAACATGGGATGCACCAGCTGTTGCACATCCCAGATACCTTGTGCACTTGGACATAGGGAGAACTATGAAACAAAGTTAATGAAATAAGCATGGCTGTCGATGCCATTTCTTTAAAGAAGTGGTTGGCTGTGGTATTCCCTTCATCAGGGGTTGGGAAAAGGATCTATGCTGACATGTGAATGTGGTCTACAGGGGCTACAACTGTGTCAGAGAAACTTAAGAGACATCACGGGAAAATTTAGGAACTGAATCATGAGTTAACAATGATTTACAAGATAAGGATGACTCTTGTTTGGAGGAGTGCTAGGAGTAAGTTTCATAGAAGACAAATGCTCTACCACTGAGCTACATCCTAAGCCTTTGTTTTCTGAGATCATCATGCGGTGTAGACCAGGCTGCCCTTGAACTTGGGACCCTTTACTTTCCAAGTGATGGAATTATGTCTGTGTGCCAGTACACTCAATAATGGGATAACTCTAATGAGGAAGGGAACTCTTCTTCTAAGCCAAATAGGAAGGACATGATGCCCAATAGTTAGGGAGATGTGGGCTGATGGAGACCATCAAGATAATGGCTTTGAAATACAGAAGAATCATCAGAAAGTTCTAGTATGATTAAGATAAATACAGATAAAAACATGGAATGGGAGGAGTTAAAAGAATGTAACTATGCCTTCAAGGATGTCACATTCTATGTAAAGATGAAGGATAATGAAATACTATTACAGTTACTTTTATTGCAACATCAGTTTGGCCCATATAAATAAGTTCAAATTATCATCTTCATTTAAAAAAATACCCATTAGAGGGGATGGAGAGATGGCTCAGTGGTTAAGACCGCTGTGCAGAGGACCCTGGTTTGGTTCCCAGTGCCCACCCACATGGTAGCTAACAACTATCCAGTTCCAGGGGATCTGATCCCCTCTTCTGGCCTCAGTGGGCATTGCATGCATATGGTATATTTATATACATGCAGGCAAAATACTCATACACATAAAACAAAAATAAATAAATAACAATTTTAAATAGTCATTAGAAATCAGTGAGACCAGTTCTACCATCTCTTTCTCAGTCTGTAGGGTAACTTTATACACTAAGAGGCAAATCAGAGGGAACAAGATGGACCAAGGAAGTGCCTGGGGCCCTGTCTTTAGCTATGTGGTACTTGAGATGTGGGATTTCTCATGTAGAAAAGGAAATGATACCACCTAGGGTGGGGATTAAATCATTGTGTTGAATAATGTCTTGGGGCAATCTTGAGCATTAAATAGGATAAAGTCTAGAAAACAGTAGGTGTTTAGCTCTCTTCTGCCCAACCCAGACTCATTTCAAATGTCCACTAAAGAATTCTGGTATTGCTACATACGCACAATCTTTTTGGCTGGCCAAACTGAGGTTGCTTGAAACACTTGCATTTGAACCATCCAGGCTGCTACCGAGGTGTAGCCTTCTCATATGTCTCACAACGGCTGTGGCATTAAACGCTTGCTGGAATGTAAGAAAAAGCACAGAAAGGCAGAGAAGGGAAACAAAATGTTTCAGCTAGTTAGAGAAGGCTCCAATTGCTTCTTTTATCTTATCTAGCTACCTTAAACATACCTCGAAATACCCTCAGGACATTTTAGAAAGCAAACTTATATTGCCCCTTTCAAAAGTGCACAAATTTATCTAAACCACTTCTCCATCAAAATGTATTTTGGAGATTAAGAAAATAACAACCACAAAACAATACTCTATGCAATAAATAACTTGCAGAATCAAAGGCATATGATAAAGAGGTGATTTATTTAAATCACTTCTCCATCAAAATATATTTTGGAGATTAAGAAACTAATAACCACGGAAAAATACTCTATACAATAAATGACTTTCAGAATCAAAGGCATATGATATATACGCAAATAATAAACATTAAGAGGTGATATTTAAAACTGGTATTTATTTTCTTGTAATTGATAACTTCTCCCTTTTTCTTTTTTTCACAGTATCCTTGAACATACTAGGCAAATTTTCTACCAACAAACCATCTCTCCAGCCCCTAATTGAATTTTTGTGATTATCATACAACATAGTTTGATGGCATTTAGATCTGTTCCCCTCTGCAAACCTCTCTCCACTACCGCATGCCTAATTTAATAGGCTCATGTGTGTGTGTATATATATATATACACACATATATCTCCCATCCACTGGCCCCGCTCAGAGTCCCAACCCTGTAGGTTGAGTTGGGACTTTTTTACCCACTTCCCCATGACTATACTGGGTTTTGTCTGATTTGACCTTGCATAGGACTTGAGCATGCTGTCACCATCTTTGGCTTCATATGAGTAAATGACCAACAGTCTGGAAGACTTATTTCCTTGTGGTCATTCACCTCCTCTGGCTCTTATAATCTTTCTGGCTTCTCTTCTGCAATGACCCTTGAGTCTTGGGAGGCAGAGATTTGAAATAGCTGTCCTATTCAGAGATAAGCACTCTGCAGCCTCTTTTTCTCTCCACATCGGCTAATTGTGGGTGTCTGTGTTAATCACCAACTGCTGTATAAGGAAGCTTCTCTGGTGAGAGTTAAAAGATGCATTCATTCTAAATGTAGAGGCTCCATTGTAGATGTGTCATTTAGGGCTGGGAATCTCACAAATACTTATTCTCTGTGTTTGACCAGTTCTAAAATTCTGTAATAGTCTCCATCTTTGCAAAAAGAGATTCTTTGACAAGGGGTGAAATGTACATTTGTCTGTAAATATGAGGGTGCACTTTTAGAATAAAGTAAGAAGCTAAGTTAGTTGGTCTAGGGATGTGGCAAAAGTAAGTTTCTCTATAGGATCCCTGACCATTCCAGCCATGTGTATTTGACTATGTTTACAGTGCCACATGAGCTCCCTCCCATCAAGCAGGCAATAATTCCAATTAGACAGCTGTTCATTACCTCCAAGAAGAAAGTGCCACTACTCTACAAGTATCAATAGATTGATGGTCAGTTGTCATTATAGCTTCATAGCTGGGTAGGATCACTGATTGGTTTTTCTCCTTTGGCAGTATCCTCTGATGCCATGACAGCTAGTCTTCAGTGGAGGAGGCATCCTGATCAGTTCCAAGTTGTTGCTCTAAGTCCTGTGCCCAAAGTGTGTCCTGTCTTCAGCAATAGGGTCTTATATTGAAGTTCTGAGTGGCAGTCAAGGGCTGTGGCCATAGCCTGTGTTATTTTGGAAGTCTCTTGGACTACCTGAACCAACAGTTTAAAGGGAGATTTCATGTGTCTGGCACTGTGTTTTGTGTTATAGAGCCTTCAGTTATACATATGCACTCACTCCTACAGTTATTGCCTGTGTATTTCTCAGTATGACTTTGAACTAATACATTTACCTCTGATTTTTCATACCATCTAAGAATTATTTATCTCTCCTTTGACTCCCTTACATAACCCTGCATACTCACTCCCCAGCTAAAGTACCCTCCTTTCACCCAGTTCCCTCTTAGTAACACCTGTCTCCTACTATCCCCTCTTGAACTCCTTCTTCCCCATTATCCCCATGATTAATCTCCATTTTCCTAGCATACTCACATTTAGGGATCCACAAATGAGAAAGAGCATACGTCCTTGTTTTCTGTGACTTAACAGTGTAACAGTTCCTATTTCCATCCATTTACCTGCAACCTTCATGATTTTGTTTTTCTTACTGCTGAGTAGAACTCCACTGTGTAAATGTAGCACATTTTCATTATCCATTCATCAGTTGAGGGACATTTAGGTTGTTTCCATTTCTTAGCTAGCAATTGTGGAAAGAGCAGCAACAAACATGGATGGACAAGTAGCAGGATGAGTCCTCTGGGTATATGCCAAGAACCGGTATGGTTGGATCACATGGTAGATTTATTTTTAGTTTTTTAAGAGTTCTCAATACTGATTTAGTTATTGCACTAGTTTGCAATCCCACCAACAGTGATGACAGTTCCCCTTTCCCTGCATCCATAGTAGCATTTCGTGTCATTTAGTCTTTTAATCTTAGCCATTCTGACTGGGGCTAGATGAAATCTTAAAGTGGTTTTGATTTGCATTTCCGTAAGGATGTTGAACACTTTTTTTTCTTTAATTTTTTATTGAATTTTTTGTATTTCATACAATATTTCTTTTTTATTCCAAAGAGGGGCAATTTTTAACATATTTTTCCAGAGATAACTTGAAGCGGGTTAATATTATATATATATATATCACACACACACACACACACACACACACACACACACAATGAAGTTTAAGGGGAGAAAATAGGAATAAGAAATCAAAGACCAAAGTATTTGCCAACACGGGGGCAACTTTGGTGGAATAATGGAAGTTTCCATTAGCTCTGGTCTTTGTTTTTTGAAAATCCTAATGAGTTTATTGGGCTTGCTAACAGAGCATAGGGTGGGGGTTTATTTACAGAAGAGCGGGTGCCCCCCCCATTTATGGCTGTGCTGGAAAGTCCACAGGATGTTGAATACTTTTTAGGGTGTTTTCAAGCTATAGTTATTTATTTGTTTATTTTTTTTAGCTTTCTGTTCAGATACATAGCCTGGTTTTTGGTTTTTTTTAAACTGGGTCATTTGTTTTCTTTCACTTTCTTCTTTGTATATTCTGGATAGTAACCCTCTGTCAGATAAATACCTGATAAAGATTTTCTTCAGTTCTGTAGGTTTTCTCTTCACTCAATTGGTTGTTTTCTTTGTTATACATAAGGTTTTTAGCTTAATGAGGTCCCATTTGTCTATTGTTGATTTTAATTCCTGAGTGATTGATGCCAGATTTAGAAAGTCCTTTCCTGAGCATATATCTTGTAGGGTACCACCTATGTTTTCTTCTAACAGTTTTAGCATTTCAGGCTTCACACTGAGGGCTCTTCGATCCATCTGGAGTTGGCTTTTGTGCAGAGTGATCAGTATTGGTCTAATTTCATTCTTTTAGGGGTGGAGCTCCAATTTTTCCAGTGCCATTTGTTAAAAATGCTCTTTCCTTTGGTGTGTGTTCTTGGCACCTTTATCAACTGTCAGGAGACTGTAATTATGTGCACTCATGTTTAGGTCTTCTCTTTTGGTCCCATTAATATACAAGTCTTTTTTGTGCCAACAACATGCTGTTTTTATGACTATGGCTCTGTAATATAGATTGAGGTCTGGTGTAGTAAATACACCTGGCATTTGTGTTCACATCTTTGTGTTCAGGATTGTTTTGGCTACCCAGAGTCTTTTGTGTTTCTGTATGGGTTTCAGAATGGATTTTTCTATTTCTGAGAAGAATGTCATGGGAACTTTGATTGGAATTACACTGAATCTGTAAACTGCTTTTGGTAGGATGGTCATTTTCACTATTGTGACTCTACAAATCCATGAGCACAGGAAGTCTTTCCTACTCCTTGTGACTTCCTCAATCTCTTCAAAGATTTACATTTCTCATTAAATAGGTCTTTAATGTCTTTGATAAGGTTTATCCCTAGAGTTCCAGGATCTTCTGGCTTTTGTAGTCTGTAATAAAAACTCAGCTGTAATTCTGATGGGTTTTCCTATATGTGACTTACTTTTTTTCTTTTGCAGCTTTCAGTATTCTTTGTTTTGTACATTTAGTGCTCTTGTGATATGATGTGAGAGTTTCTGTTCTGGTCCTGTCTAATTGATGTTCTCTGTGTTTTTTGTATCTATATAGGTACGTCTTTCCATAATTTAGGGAAATTCTCTTCTATAATCCTGTTGAAGATCTGGTCAATGTCATGACCTGAAATTCTTATCCTTCCTCTATGCCTATAATGCATAAATTTGGTCTTTTCATAGTGTCCCACATCTCCTGTGTTTCTCTTAGTTTTCATATTCTTTGCTTGAGCGATCTGATTCTTCAACCTACTTTCTAGTCTTGATATCATTCATTCTATTGGTGAGGCTTTTTGCTGTCATTTCATTTTCCATTTTCATCTCAGCCTGAGTTTTCTTCAATATTTCCACGTCTTTCATGAATTCCTTTCTCCGATCCTGAATTGTCTTTGTCATTTTATTCATCTATATATTTGTATTTTCTTGAGTTTCAGTAGCAGTTTATCCCCGTCCTCTGTGAGTTCTTTGAGCTTTGTGTGTGTTCTTTAAATTCGTTGAAACTTTGATCATGTCTATGATTGTTCTTTTAAATTCTGTGTCCTGGAGTTCCAATAGGCAGTTCTCATTGTAGAACACGTCTATAGGACTGGTGGGGTTTGGTGGGGACATATTATTTTGCTTTTTTATATTATTTGCATTTTTGCATTGTGGTTTGGGCATGTGAATTTCTTTTGTTGTTTGTGACTCTGTTATGAAATTCAAGCCTGACTTTGTTGAGTTTAAGTTTGATTATGTTTTTTATTGTCAATGTAACGTGACTGCTTTCTGACTGGGTTTGAATAGTGAATTGGTCTGGGCTTCAGGTTCTCTTTTCTGATCTTATACTGAAGGGACAAGATGGATCCAGGAAGGCTACTCTCCAGAAGGGTGAAGGAGTCTTGGCTAGTCAGGTGCTCTCCAGCAGCCTGAGCGGGACTGGGCCAAGGCCCAAGAAGAGCAGATGGGAATAGAATGGGTTGGCCCTTACTAGCTACCAGGGAAGGCTTGAGCCTGGAGCAGTGGGAGGGAGTAGAGATGGTCCCATAGCAGGGGGATGGGTGTGGCAGGATTTGGGCAACTCAGTCTGGTGGGTCAGGGGCTCGCAAGGCAGCCTCTGCAGGGACTGGGGCAAGGCCCAAGGAGAGGGAATGGGAACAGAATAGGTCAGTCCTTGCTAGAGAGCAGGGAAGGCCTGAGTCCTGGAGCAGCGACCCAATGCAGCTATTTCTATTTCTTGAGGCTTTTATTAAGCTGCCCAGGCTGCCCTTGAATTTACAATCCTTCTGTCTCAGCCTCCTGAGTAGCTGGAATTACAAGTCCTTATCACCAGGCCCAGCTCCACAATTGGTACTCTTGCTCTAACTAATGGCATTTCTTCAGGTAGGTCTATGGAATTCATTTAGTTTCTACTGGCTCTCACATCAAGACAGCCAGTTCTTAAGTACTAATGCTGATCAGAATCAATAAATAATCATGAAATCACAATGGCTTAAATCCATCAAATTTTTACCAGATTTTGGGTCCCCCCCCCCCGTTCTATCACTTTAATAAAAAGTGACTAGTCTAAGTTCCAGCAAAGTAAAGGGAATCAAGAAGGATTGTATACTGGGCGTGGTGGAGCTCGCCTTTAATCCCAGCACTCGGGAGGCAGAGGCAGGCCGATCTCTGTGAGTTCAAGGCCAGCCTGGTCTACATAGTGAGATCCAGGACAGCTGGGGCAACAGAGAGACCCTGTCTCAAAAAGACCGAAAAAAAAGGGGGGGGGGATTATATTGCTTAAGGAGTAACCAATGACTAATAGCTGGCACAATCACTATCTTTGAGCCACAGAGGAAAAACAACTACCATCTTACACTGTGATACTCCCTCCATGCCTTAATCAAGAATCAGTTAAAATTAGTTGCATAAGATTCTGGGGATTTCCATCCAAACCCCCATGACAGTACTCTCTAAAAATATGACATGCTCAAATTAGAGAATTAATTTCTTGAAAGTAGCCAAAGCCTCTTGGAATCTAACAAATTCAGGACTCACTCTCCATTTGCTTTTTGCAAAATTCTTCCGGATCTGGGCGCTGACCGACTCATGAATGTTTTTGTTGAGGGCTGTGTCACCAGCAATCCTGAAACACAGACAAAAAGATTTCCATAACTTCATGGTAAGACCCTGCTGCTACAGAAACCACACACTTTGGTTGCAGGACATAGAGAAGCCAGTCTCAAATTGACCAGAAAACATCTTCCTTGCTGGCCAACTTTTATGGTAGCAGGAGGAGAAAAGACATCAATGGTCTACCAGTACTGGACCCTGCAAGCTGTACTATATGCCCACTGCTACCATAGTGACACAACTGTTACATGGTAATTTGACCCCCTCACTACTTGTCTCTCATGTTTTTATCTTGAGCTCAATTCCTGCAACAGATCCATGATAGCAGGGAAACCTAAATTACTGTCACTCCAACTTGCTACTTCTCCCTCTATACCAGTGTTGGACCTCCATGGTATAAGTGTTCACATTTGCTCCCTGGGTGCTCTTTCCCCAGTGCCTGGTTTCCAGTTTCCATGTAGTTAAGGCCTCTATGCACTGCCCCAGGAACCTCTGTTCCATGGACCGTGCTCACCTTCTGCTCCTCTCTTTCTTTTCTGGCCCCATCCCAGCTGAGCTCAGTTCTGCAGCAACATTCTATTCAACCTGGGATGTCTGTGTTGCTCTCTTTCTCTGTGCTCAATGACAAGACTGATGGCCTCAGCTCAGCTCGGCTGGACACAGACTCTAGAAAGGTCTCAGGATTTCCAGGGCCATGTCCACTCTACTTTCAGGGTCAAAGATGGTCTTTATTGTAGTTCTTGATTATTTCTGAGCCTTCTCTCATAACTAAGGAAGAACTCTGGTACACTTTGACCTCTCCTCCTGAGGCTCCCCCTTGTCCTACTCTGTTCTCTTTCTCTTGCCTGCCTTGCATCTCACTCTGCTTATAATCTCCTTCAGAGCCCCCAAGAATTTCCTAAAGGTCACATACAGCATACACCATTCTTCTCTCCCACCCACCCTTCTTGACCACATCATTACTAGCTCCAACATCCAATCATCCAATACACTCACCTTCCCCCCTGGCTCAGGGAAAACTATACTCTACTCTCAGCCTTTCCTGGAACTTGATCCTTCCATTTTTTTTCTTTCCAAACTATTCAATTCTAGGTTGGAATCTGGTGTCTAAGAAGTAATTTATTGAATCTTGAAAAAGTTGTGAGGCAGGCTTCACAGTTATAGATCACCCTTCCTGGCTAGAAGGTACTTGGTATTTGAGGAAATCTTTCGTCTCCTAGACCTGGATCTGCCTTGAACCTAAAAGAGGACTCTGCCACTGTAAGCTGTTATTTCCAATTGCTTTGGGAAATGAAAGGAACCACCTCAGGCTTATTCAGACAGACTCACCCAGCTCAGCCTTTCTTTCACTGTAGAACTTCAACATAATTCAGGGACTAGACTGAGTCTGTGCCAGGCTGACCTACATTTAAAATACAGTCTGACATCCTCACTAAAAGCAACCTCCTTCCCCATCCCTAAATGTTTCCTCTTTCTTCCCAGCAGGGCTCAGAGGATACTCAGAGATGAACTGAAGTGAACCAAGTTTCCACTTTCAACAACTCCCAGTTGTCCTCTTTCCCAAGGCACACATTAGTGAAACAGAAACGGCATGTGTGAACGAGCAAATTGAAAACAAGAAATGAATGAGCAAGTTTTGAGAACTACAGATATCTTCATGGAGTTTTTCTCCTTCAGAGCTCATGGGAATGCTTTCTTCTTGGTATATATGGGCCTGTGGATGTAAAGCCCAGAGGTTATCCTTGAGTACCATTCCTTAGGCTCCTACCCAAGGTCTCTCACTGTGACCTGGGCTTGATTAGGCTAGGCTCACTGTCCAGAAAGCCCTCTTGCCTCTGCCTCCCCAGAAATGGTATCATAGGCATGTAGCACCATGCCTGACCTTACATCAGTCCTGGTGATCAAACTCAGACCTTCATGCAAACACTTTATGAACTGAAATATCTCCCTAGCCCCTTTCTGTGCCATTTTTTAACATTTCTGTCCTCAGGAAAGGATGTCAGTTCCAATGATTCAGTGGCCAGCTTTTTTTTTTTTTTTTTTTTTTTTTTTTTTTTTTTGAGATAAAACCTTACTATGTAGCTCTGGCTGGCCTAGAACTTATTACGTAGACCAGGCTGGACTTTGAATTCAGGGGTATCTGCCTACCTCTATCCGTGGGTCTCAAACTCAGCCCTTCATGCAAACATTTTATGAACTGAAATTTCTCCCTACCCCCTTTCTTTGCCATTTTTTAACATTTTTGTCCCCAGGAAAGGTTGTCAGTTCCAATGATTCAGTGGCCAGCTTTTTTTTTTTTTTTTAAATAGGATCAAATGGTAGGAAGTATGCTGAGAAGTTAGGGAATACTCTAGAACTTGTATTCCACCTACTTGTCAGTATCTTAGTCTCTAACACCTTGAGCCCAAGACCTTCTGGGTATGTTATCATGGGCCAAGATGTAAGGAAAATACTAACTCTGAATTATTTTAGCAATGCTTTCTCCTCATTTACCACTTACCCACAGCTGGGTCAAAGTCTATCTAGCAGCAGGTGGCCCGCTGGGTCTGTTAGACAATTTTTTAAATTTGATGCATATGCATGTATTGCCTGCATGTAGGTAAGTACACCCATGTCATGCAATGCCTGTGGAGGACAGAAGAGGCTGTCCAAGTGTGGATACTAAATCTACTATCTGGGCAGCTACAAATACACAGAGAGAGCATTCTCTCAGTGTTTAATGATTTATTTATTTATTTATTTATTATTTATTTATTTATTATTTTTATGTGTATGAGTGTGTTTGACTGCATGTATGTAAGTGCACTGGTGTATGTAGTGCCTGTAGAGGCTAGAAGATGGTATTGAATCCCCTGAAACTGGAGTTACAGACAGTTGTTAGCCACCATGTGGGTGATGGGAACCAAGCCTGGGTCCTCTGCAAGAGAAGCTGGTGCTCTTAACCACTGAGCCATCTCTCTAGACCTCGTTTCATGATTCTTAAGGTGGGTCATTAGGCGAGTCAATCATCTTCTTTCTTTTTTCTCTGTATACTAGCTAAGAGTGAAGTACTTTTTTGTACTGTATGCAAACCATATAATTGAAAGAGGGCTGCTGTGTTCCAGGCTGAACTTAAATTCACAGAGATCCCCTGGCTCTACCTCCTGAGTGCTGGGATTAATGATGTGTGCCACCATGCTTGGATGCTTCTTTACTTTTTATTTGCTTAGGAGCTTCTTGAATTTTTTTCTGTTCCTGATATTTTATCTCTGACTCTCCCCCACTTCTGAATCTATCACTTTTCAAGGTTAGCATTTTCCAAATCAGGCTTCAAACCATTTATAATCAGTTATAAAAACCCTATTTATTTATGGCACTTATTGGATTTATGCAAATTAACTCCATAGACAGCACAATCACTTTGGTGTGTATGTGTTGGTGTGTGTACACAGGCATGTGGAAGTCAAAGGCCAACTTCGGTGTTTTCTTTAATCATTTTCCACCATATTTTTTTGAGACAGCGTCTCTAACTGAACCTGGAGGTCACCAATTTAGCTAGACTGGCTGGCCAGGGAGCTCCAGGGATTGTCCTATCTCTACCTCCCCAGCACTGGTTTACAGGTGTGTGAATCCATACCGAACTTTTTTTTTTTCAAGTAGAACTCTTTTTTTTAATGTGTTGATCTTTTTGTGTGCATATCATATAGAACATGCCCAACTTTTTGTGGGTGCTAGAGGAATGAACTTGGGTCCTCATAATTGTGCATCAAGCATTTTATTGACTGGGCAACTTTTCTAGTTCTTACTTTTATAACTAAAAATGTAACATTATATATTAAAGTATATATACATAAACACATATATGTATACATGTTTTTAATATTTTATTATTTTTTTTATTTTATGCATATGTGTGTATTGCCTGCATGTAGGTAAGTGCACCCGTGTCGTGCAATGCCCACGGAGGACAGAAGAGGCTGTCGGATCCCCGGACTGGAGTTTACAGACAGTTGTTAGCTGCCAAGTGGGTGCTGGGATTCGAACCCAGATCTTCTGCAAGAACATGCAATGCCCACGGAGGACAGAAGAGGCTGTCGGATCCCCTGGGACTGGAGTTACAGGCAGTTGTTAGCTGCCATATTGGTGCTGGGATTCGAACCCGGGTCTTCTGCAAGAACAACCAGTGTTCTTAAACTCTGAGCCATCTCTCCAGCCCGCATACATGTTTTTTAAGGGCACAGTCACATTGGGCCATGACAGCACAACACAGTCCTTTTCAAATGGGCAACTCAATGAAAATCGTTGCTGATGATCACAATAATCTGGGTTGTTTACAAAAGTAACACAGGCTATTCCAGTGCTCAGTGTAACCTCAGTAGTAGTCATCAACACTGAGGTGTTATGGCTTAAAATGGAAGGGACTGTAGAGGACACTCAGTACTGCATAGGCAGTGACCAATGAGGCTTCTGATGTAGAATAAATCTGTAAGCACATAGATTTATGAAGCGGTGGGTAAGCACATCTCATTCAGGTCTCCCCAACTGCTCTCTGGTTTAAGCTTTATGCTAATGCTGCAGATCACGTTTATATAGTCACATATTTTGGGACCTATTTTACTATCTTTCTCCAAGGTCAGATTAAAGTCTGTCTGCTTGCTGTTGGTGTGGGTGTGTTTCAGACACGCTCTCTTCTCCACTATGCCTCTTGTTCTGCCACTTGCTCAAAATGGGCTCACTGGTGTCTGGCATGCATCCCAGGTGGTACTGTGTTACTTGCCAATTCCTGGGCTACTTGCCAATTCCCACTACCAGAGCTAAAGTGCTTGGAGTCCTGTAGAAGGGAAGGGTCTCAGTCAGTATTCAGGGGTGCAATGGCTAATTTTACATGTCAGGTTGGCTAGGACATGGCAGCCAAATATTTGGCCATATGCTAGCTTCTATGTTTCAATGAAAGTGTTTCTTAGATGACATTAACATTTCAATCAGTAGACTTTGAATTAAGCACATCTCATGGGTAGGCTTTCCCATCAGTTG